CACGGTGCCTGATGAGGGTATGGTTTGAGCGCACAGAAGAGATGTTCTGGATGAGGAAATCATCCAGAACGTGTACACCTGAGCTCAACTCCTAAGTCAAGCAGAAGTTAGTGTGGCGCTGGAGGGGCAGGCAGAAGAAGGAAGCGGGAACAAGAGATGTTGCTTACCTAATCTCGACTTACCCTAAGGCTTATTGGAAAACTTTGTCACTACTGTAATTTACATAGAGCTTAAAATCTTCCTGTGAATCTATCTTGTAAGCAAGGAATTATTACAAAATTGCTGAATTATTCCTATGTTAAAGCATCCAAGAAAGTTTGTTACACTGCATCTCTTTCCCAGTGACCAGTCATGCTAACTTAATGGTTTCTTCAGTAGCATGGACAGCTGGGAAGTAAGAAAAAAATTAGGACTTAAGTATGAGATTATGTAGTTCTGTCACAGGCAGTCATCTCTCAGTATTAACAAGCAAAAAGGCAGGATACAATATTTTTTATTTCAAAGAAGAGAGAAACTGAATCATCAGAGATAGTCCTCTCATAGGAAGCCATTTGAGACCCACGTACAACAGTGTATTTAAGATGTATTTACACAGCCTCAGTAATTTCAATGGGATGTTCAGGTTGAAGTAACCCGATGAACGAGAATTACACACTTCAGTCACTTTGAGGGATTGCAATAATCCTTCTGTTTGTTATGACTGTAATGCTTTGATCTTGTCAGGTTCGTAGACTCAATTCGCCGTGACTAACAACAGGATGTACAAGATCAAGGACCCACAGTGACAAACCTGGGCTGCTGATGTCCTCTAAGAAGCCGACTTTGGCCTTATTCACAGATTGGCAACAGACTTGCACCTTCTTTCATCAATTTATATTTGTCCTACTGTGTTCTGAATGAACACTGACAAACAGCATTGCTGTACTATATGGCAATTGCCATAAAGTAGCTTACCTAATCCATTATTCTGTCTCTAATACCAGCAATTCAAGAAAAGGTTCAAAAACCCAAAATGGAACAGCAGCGGGACTGCTAGGACAAAATTAATAGCCATCTTCAGGACATATTTTTAGTGCGTAAAAGGAATTATCGGTCTTAGCTTACAAGGCTTGGGTTTTAAATGGTATTTACAGAATTTACATTAACGTGTAACAATTGTTAATAATGACATGCATTTTTTAATGACATGCATTTTTTGATAAGCTCTGAATAGAAGTGAGGACTGTATGTTCCTCCAAAACAGGTGCACGTGGAGCGTCCTTATTTTTATCAGCAGAAAGCAGACTACCAGCTCCGCTAATACGTTCCGACACTCTGTGCCCCCCAAACATAAAACTGCGCCCCAGCACTGCCTACACAGCCGGTGCGTTGCGTGCTGGGAACGCCGCTAATCTTCGCCTTGCAGTTCTGGAGGGGAGGAGTCGTGCCGTTATTGGTCATACTGCAAACGACTAAAAAGCGTGAGAGATTTACAAGCAGCAAGATGATGGTAAGACTAATTTCAGTGAAGCACAAAAATCGAAAACTAAGCTGATACTTTTTGAATATCATATAAGCAAAGGTGAAAAGTACATTCTAGCTAGAGCTACAATGACATTGTAGCCCCGGAAGATTTGTTTATTAATACATTTTATATATTCTCTGGAGTTTTTACAGCGTGCAAAGGAGCACCAGGTTGAAGATATCAGATCAAGATGTGAGAGAACTGGTATGACAGACAAGCTAGGCAGAGATACTAGCTTGTGACCTTAAAACAGCCCAGAATAACCTCATCTCTGAATAGGGGTAAACAAGCCAGGTTTAGAGCCAAGCTGAAGGGCTTTGACATCTAAGCAATGAGTTAGCTTGTTCAGCAGTAGTGTAGGGATCTCACCTGTACTACCTGTGTGGTTTGAAACCTGTCAGTCTTTCTTTGTGATCATTTGGTGTTGACTCTGATCATTACATGACAGAGATAAATAAAATTCACATGCTTAAAATTCAGTCTATGCTTTGCTCCTTTGCAGCATCCTCTGCCTCACATATTATCCTGAGACGTGTTAAGTACTGAAGTCCTCCTCAGAACCAAACCGGTGCTTTTGAAAAAGCAGCTTAAGAAAATGGAAACATTTTCTGGAGTAATTTTGATTTTCACTTCTGTGGCCTGCTTTTCAGGATGTTAAATCTCTGTGTCCAGTAAAACTGTATAAGCATATAGAAAATCTGTTATATTGACCGACATGGAAAAGCAAGTAGACATGAAAAAATATTTATTTGCATTGTCATCTGAAAAGGTGTCACTTTGTGACATAGATTCTTCTAACTAATTTATTATTTAAATCACCTACTAAAATAAGCGTAACCCTGATCACCTCTTACACTTCTAGAAATGCGCCCTTTTAGGGCTCGCTCTGTTGCATTTTTAAAGTATTTAACTTTATTTTCAGTAATACATGTAAGTAAAAGTTAAAGGTTTTCCAAGAATTCTTTGGTTAAAAACGTCCCCTTGCTTCCAGTGTTGCACAGGAGAGGGATAGTTAGATGCTAGCAAGCCTAAAGAGGCCATTTGAGAACGATATGCACTTGTTCCAGTCCCAAAACACAACGTACCTTTAAAAACAAAATAAAACAAAAACAGCTATAGCAACAATGGAAATGGAAAATCATCAAAGATGAACCATGAACCAACACAATTGTTTTCTTCTTCTCTTTTATACTACAGCCATGTCTTTTATTTGCATTTATTGCAGATAAAGGACCACTTGCATGAATGGAAACTATTCACGTGAGTGAGGATATGCAAGGTAAAGCTAAACAAAGATACTCTATAAATACAAATGTTGATGTGGTAACAATAGTTACCAATTTAGGGTAAGAAGCTACAAAAAAAACGTGTTAAGTGTCTGAATCTATTAAAACTCTGATCTTGCTAGCATTCATACTTACATACTTGGAAAACTGGACCTTAATTATTGCTAGGGTTACTAACAGTCCTCTGTAAATATCTTTCACGGACAATTGCATTGGACAAATCATTTGCCTTGTTTAATTTAAACAGAAAAAAGGAAAACAATATGTTTGAAATATAAACAGTAATACAAAATACTAACAAAGAGTAACATTAATTGAAAGCAGCAAAATAAATCTCTTCCTTAAAACAGCCTTAGGTACCACGACTAAGTTTTAAGACATAAATTTAAACAATATTTCTATATCAACCCCCTCTTCCCCCCACACATTCTAATATATTTTTCTTTTGATCAAGAAATTATTTTGACATTGTAAAGACAATTGATAATTCACAATCAAACCAAAGTCCTCACAAGTATGCAACCTTACCTTCACCTGCATATGCCAGAATAGAGCGGGCACGCATCTGCTTTCCTTCTGTGGTTTTGCCGGAGCAGGTGTGTGAGCAGGAGGACCATCCGGACCACATGCTGAGCACGCAGTCCTTTGGGCATGCAGCTTCACAGACAACAGGGACTGGATAGATAGCGTCTCTACACAGCTGTCTGTCAACCTCTTCTCCTGGGAAAGAAAAGGCCAGTAGCAGTCTATCATTTGTTAAATTAACTTAAAATGAGCAATCTAGCCCAGATGGGCTCGCAAATAAATTAGATTCTGTTCTTGTATAAAAACAAGGTAAATAGATTTGTTATTAAAATGACTTCTCTGCCTTGATGTTAGAAGGACACGCTCAAGCCTAGTTTAATTTGATATTCCACTGAAGTGAATACTAGCATGGGTGGTCTTTAGGGTTTCACTTTGTTATTGTATCTTTGGTTACATAAAAAAACCTACTGTGAATAACTAAGTATATAATACACCTACAGAAAACTCCATCAATGTGCCATGCAAGTGCATTAATCACCTAATCTTAACACATATTTGTTGAGGAAAATTATCCTAACTTCCAGTTCATGAAATTTGTTCTGTGACTGTTTTATAACCCCCAGTTTATCCTTCGAATTGCAATTGTGCATCAAAATATAAAGACAGTTGCAGTAAGATGGAGTCAGAGAATTTTGTTTCATTATAAAGGTCTTCATTAATTAGCCAAATCAGTAAATGTCACTCCTTATGTCACGGAACTATAAAACAAACAAACAAGCCAACCCCAAATTGTGCATATTTATTCTGCCAAATCAACCTACACATTTAATTGAAATGAAAAAAAAAAACAGGCTGGTATGAATTGTTTAATAAAATACTAGTCAGTGGTTAAAGTAGCAGAGCTACTTTTTTCGGGAAAGAAATCCTGGTAGGAGCTGTACCTGAGATCTCTGTGAACAGAGTCCTAAGTTTTGTAAGTTGTCAGATGCTTCCCTGCTCAGATCAGTTAATATCCACTAAGTGACGGATGAACAAATGACCAAGTACTCCGACATCAAAAATTCTCAGTGAAAGTGACAAAAGCCTCAGGATGAATCTTCACTTTAGACAAGTTGAGGGAAAAAAAAAAAAAAAAGAACTAAGGAGAAAGAGATTTGCATTCAGTGTTTTAGGGTTATAGGCTTGCTGTCATACACTCCAGCTACAGAAAAGTGCTTTCAATGAGACCAGGGACTGAGCCCAATACATAATGCCAGTTACAAGGAACCGTGAAAAAGTTGCATTTAAGAGAACTCTGGTTTTTGAGGCTCCATTAACTGCATATAACCAAGTTAAGATCTAGTCTCATTTGCACATAGGGAACTTTTAAAAAGTTTTCTGAAAAGCATAAAATTTCAAAAGCATCTGAATGACTTTTGTGTTATATAGTCCTTGCAGTGCCAGGGCATAAAAATTTCTATTGAGTTATGATTCATCTACTGAAATTTTATTGATGTAAATGCAATCTCAATGGAACTAACAGAACCATCTATTATATTACATATGTTATAATCCATCATGTCAGCTATTTTGTTTTAATAGCTAATGCTAATGAATAATGTCTCATCAAGATTTGCAATGGAAATAAGTTCTCAATATATCAAAACATTTGTTAAATATAATCATTAAATACTGTATAATTTAATGATAAAGACATCAGCTGATGTTAATGATCACCACCTGGACTCTGAAAAGCTAATTCCAGGAGAACTATGGATACTGTAAATCAAGCAAAGATCTATAAACACTGCTTTACCCAAGGCCCAGATTAGGCTTTTATTGCTTAACACAGTAATAATAAAATGAATCAAACAGTAATCTAAACAGAATCTACATTCTTGTTATTCAAACTTTACAGAGTCTTAAAACCTCTCAAACAAGAATTTCTGCAAAACTGAATTCCTGAAAATAGGAGGTTCTCTAATACTAGAGACATATCATGATTCCCAGAATTACCAAATCCTTCACAAAAAAGGAAAAGATAAGGGTCATCCTCTCTATATGCCGCTAACCAATGTCAAACATTTTATTCCTGCAGAACCTTTAGTCACAACAGAACTGCAAAAGTCAGCCTTCCTCAGCTCTGCAGCAAGGGCAAGTTTTGCAGCTCATGCTTGTTAGATAGTCTGAAGTAGTCATATCTATCTGAATTATACTGACCTTCGAGATCAAGCCAGTCTCAATAGCCATATTTCCCCATATTACAAATAGGTTTTTGAGTCCTGTCAAAGGCTTTATAAAACTCCCACACCAAGCTCTGCTTCCCCACTGGACTCTCTGCATCAATTGCTCTTTTTATGCTATCACATGTCATCACAGACCATCACCAATGTAAGCGGGATTCCTGCCCACTCCATCAGATGGCACTTGTCTGAGTTGAAGGATAAGGAGAATGAGCAGACTGCAAACTTCTTTGAGAAAGAATGAAGCTAGAGAAAACGGATGAACCTCATCCTCAGACTGTTCCACCTCCAGGTAAGACTCAATGAGGTAAACTGCTAGGACACCTTCACACCTTGCAAGAAATATTACTATTACAATGAAGTATGTCATAGTGTAAAATACCGTTAATAAACTTATTTATCATTATCAACCATGATGCTGGAAATTCAAGTTAAATTTGGAGCTACAGTGAGAAATTGTGTAGATTTTAGTTGCAGTTAGAGTTTATATTTAAAATAAAAAAGCCTTCGATTCAATCTCTTCCAAATCAAAGCCCCCTTTTAGCATTTGCTTTTAAAAACAAAACATTCTATAAATACGTATCTTGCATATTAGCGTTTAGTTTTTGTCAACAGTCCAGCTCTTATCTGATGAAGGCAATGGGACAGAAATGCAGTTGGAAGGAATATTTTATAATGGGTACTTCATACCTTCAGGGAGATATTTTACTTGGACTAAATTGTTTCTGACATTTCACTAATGATTTTATGAACATCTTGACCTTTGTTGCCATCCTCTTTAAAGTGCATAGTGTAGTCAGCTACCAGGAACCACTCAACCATATGCTGGGAATCAAACCAGTGTAAAAACTGAAGCTACTTGGAAAAAGTCCCATTTGAAAGTTTGTCAACTATAGTCTAATATTTGAATTTTACTGTTTTATATACATGTTGCACAGGAGATGAATGCAGATCTTTACAAACATGAGTCAAAAGTCCCTGCCCTGAAGTACTTATATTCTAGAAAATATAATGCCAACCTCCCAGAAAATCCTAGAAAGATAGAAACAAAATTTGACATTTCCCACATAACAAAACTCTTCACCATCGAGCAGTTGTTTCGTCCATTAAAATCCAGCAACCATCCATGTTCAGAAATAGCGTTGATATAGCTGAACAATATTTCTATCATATGCAATACACACAGACTAGGGGCTAAATTCTCCAAATTGCACTAGAAACAGTGACTGTAGGTAGAAATGGCATGAAGCAATAGAGGTTTTCTTTCTCAACAATATGAAATGCCATGAACTGTTTAAATGTTTGCCGAGAGTTTTACAGATTTCTATCATCAGTATGGACTACCAAGGAGGCAGCCCTTCAAATCTTCATCTCTTCCCTGACCTGTTAGGCCAGCTCCTGCTAGATAAGCAGCATTACATGCGGGCTGCTTTGCGGTGTGAAGACCCTCTAGCCTGTGTGTCATTGCTGCTTTATTACATTCGCAAAGCAGATACGACATCCATGAAAATTTGGTCTAGAGGCTAAAGGTTGGGCTAGAACCCCAAAGACCTAGGTTCTGTGTTTGATGTGGTCAGTTCACATCACTGCTTTGCATTATTCTTCCTCATCTGTAAAATATCTCTGATATTTAATTTCCTTGTAAAACGCTTTTGTACAAAGCATTTCTAGAGCTGGTATTGTTAATATAAGACATGGCAAGAAAACTCTCTTTCTTATTGTGCATCTCTTAATATGATGCATGCTTCAGTGCACAGTAAAAAAATTGCTGTCAAACCCTGACCTGCAGTAAATAGAAAGGCAACTGCTTAACAGAGGGCAAAATTATTTTAAAGCCCTAAAATGAACAGCAAAATCACTGCTGCATTCAGTGAGGCACGGAGAACAGTTGAACTTTCCTCTAAAATCAATGTAAAATAGAAATGCAGTCGGGGTTCTACATAACCAAGAAATAAAGTTGGTCTCAGCCTTGGACCTGAAAAATAGCTATAATCTCTGAAAGGCTAAACTGCTACCTGAAACAAAAGAAGTCAGAAATTGATGCTAAGTTCATAATAAATGGGATCAACTCATGTGAGGGCTTTGAGCATTACTAGTCATTTAAAGAAAAGAATTCTGTATAATCAGTAAAGGACAGAAATATCACAGAGTGGTAAAACAAATCATGCAGATCTAGTCTGAAGTCTGTAAAAGAATAAATGACAGCAACTGAGCATAAAAGTTACAAGTGAAGACTTCAGCCTCAGCGCTGTTTAGTCAGATCTGTTCAGCTTTACTAGTACTTCTGAGACTCTAAGACAGGAGAAAAAAAAAAGGCTCCGTGCCAAGTTATTCCAGTATCTTCTTGTTTTTATGGCTGCTGGGCGCTCCACATGATGGTCTGTTGTTATGTACAACAGATCACAGAGGCCTCAGTTCAAGTGTTTTTAAATCTATGCATCTAAAATGAGGATGTGAAAATGTCAAGTGATGGAAAAGACTGGCAGTTCAAAGCACTGCTTGATCGGGATGTACTGAGTTAACGATACTAGGGTATATATTGCGTTGCATATATTTAACTATATCAGTTACAGGCAACGCTCTCTTGGCCGATGCTTCTGTTACCAACTCTCACCTTGCACACAAAGCTGAAAAGGACACACACAATGTTTAATCTGTCGGAAAACCGCTGGGCACCTGAAATACTTGGTAATGCACCTCTGAACCCAGCTTTTAAGTACTCTCTGTCTGTGGGTAAAGAAGGCCTTGCTCTTCTTCAATTGCCTTCAACAATGCCTCTAGGCACGGACTCTTCCCTTCAGATAATATACGCTGCACCACAAATCTGAGAAGCCGTTGCAGAAAAATGGTGTAAAAAGTCCAAATAGGAACAGGAACCCTCATTTCAACACTGTATCAGTGAGTTGTGCTATCCAGCAGGAAGAAACGCAGTTATTTCACACCATGTTAGCATCTACATGAGTTCTGCTGGCT